GCACCTTCCCGCACCTTCCCTTCCTTTCCCCTCCCCCTCTCCCTCCCTTCCCTCCCCAGAGTTAGTTTCCCATCAGTTTCTCAGCTCAAGAATCTAGAGTTGAGGGACATTCTTAGAATTGGTCTTAATTTTCTCACATTTCAGAAAGAATCTGAAAAGCCAGAGGAGGGCATTCAGTGCTCACCATTCCTGTATGAGGGAAAGTGGTTTGCTTTTTATTTTTTTTTTTTTTTTTCTGCAGAGACACAGCATCCTACTAGCAGAAGAATCTGGTTCTGAGGAGATTGTTTTCTCAGTGCCACCTGGCTTATATGGGATCCAGTTTTCCAGTCCGCTGCTGGAAAGAAAATACATGTAATAATGATGACTGAAATACAGCTTTTTATACCCTTTGCTTCATTGTGACTGGAAAAACATATTTCTTTTGATCTTGGACAAGAGATGTGTTTTGTGTGTTCAGTACATTTTTAGAAGTATTTTATGTCTATTCTCTAAAATATTTTTTGAGATGTATTGAACAAAAGTGTCTCTGCATGCACAGGAGACTTTTCTTTCAGACTGTTTCTTTTTCATCTCAGCAACACTGGTCTGAATAGCCAGAGACACATCAGCTGGAGCCCCCATCTCTGAAAAGAAAAAAAGGAAATACAGGAAATTTCAGGAGACTGAGCAAAGGGAGGCCAGAAGACGCAACAGAGGCAAAGTCAAGGTGTCCCAAAGCACTTTGCCATTGCAGTGGTGAATGGCTAAACCAGACCACCACGTGAGGGGAAGGGGGAGAGGAAGGGATTGAAATGGGATGAACAACTAGGAAGGAAGACTGGGGGAGGGCTGGACTTCCTGAAGCTGCTGGGAAGATGTAATTTGGGGGTGATAACAGCTGCATGGGAGAAGGGTCACCACTTTCCAGACCATCCCCCCCAATGATCCTTCATACCTGGATTTGCTTCTTTTTGCTTTCTGGAGCTCTTGCAGTTGCCATTGCTGCTCATTTGTTGCCTTGGGCCATTTTCTGCTCTGTCTCTCCCTCCAGCTGACCTTCCCCACAACACAGCTGAACTCTGCCTGACTGTGGCTGAGGTGTTTGTGCTTTCCCATCTTCAAGCACAGAACCACAGAGGAGACTTCTCTGTGTCAGTCCCTGTCTTGTCAGTGTTTCCCCTCATGAAAGGGCAGCCTTGCCTTTCTTACCCCAGAGCACCTCCAAGCATGCAGAATGTGTCCCTGCTTTTACAGATGGCAGAGCTTTTAACAGGTGTTTGTGTGTCCTTCCATTTCCCTTTTCCCAGCCTTAGCAGTTCTTTTCCAGTACAGGGACTGGGAAGTTTCTTCCCACAGCTCTGCACCTGGCTGTTTTACTTAAGAAGGTGCCTCTTTGCTGGTCAATTGCTTTCTTTTCTTGCCTTGTTTCTTTAACAGATGACCTCTGGATTTCTCCTGATGCCTTCAGGCAGAAATACCAAGCAAAACAGGAAAAACAGAGTTTACATATAGAACACATAAGAGGGATTTTCAGGCATCTTCCTAATTCTTTGGACACGATCAAGCTTTTATGTGAATGTAGGATGAAACAGGAACCACAAGATGCTTTACTGAAAAGGTATTTTTACAATTTCTGGGAGAAGCAGCAATGGGAATGCAGGGAGCAAGGGACTGAAACAGAACATTTTTCTTGTGTCTAGAGAAGGAGAATTAAGATCAATGAACACAACTCCTCATATTCTTAGAGAATATGAACATGTGAAAGAACATGGCAAAACATGATGGTATTTGGTCTGGATTCTTGAATCCGAGTTCCCTGGCATGGTCAGCCTTGATGTTACCTGTCAGGGCTGTCCTGAGGACAGGGGTTGCTGTGAAAGCACTCAGGATTTACCTCAGGGCAGCCACATCCTGTCCTGAGCTTCAAGTACTTGCTTTCCTTTGGCTAATTTGGGATGCAGCTGCCAATATGACTGTGGGTTTCACCTGCATCTTCCACCTCGTTGTGACCAGAGCCACGAATGCATGTAGAGAGAAAGTTAGTTCCTTCCTCTAGAAATGTAACCTGAGAAGATCCTGAAACTCCTCAGGCTCTGAGTCTCTGGATTCACCACCTCTGCCATCAGTGCTCAAGTCAGTCACTTCCTAGCAGGAGCATTCCTGGAGAGAGAAGCATTGAAGTGCCAAGTCAGAAGCAGGAGGAAAGAAAAAGGAAATTACTGGTACTTAAAAATACTCAACCCAGGAGGCATGAACCACGAACAGAAGAGAGATGTCAGAAGAAAACCAGACACGGCTTGGAATACAAGAGAGAATGACTAATTACAGATGCTTTGTCCAAGTCTGTGAGTAGATGAAAGTGATGTCACTGCTGGTGTGATCATGAATGTTAGTGCTGGTGCATCACAGCAGTGGCATTGTTTCTTTAGAGCAGAGTAATACATCGTCTTCTGGAATGCATCCACAAGTTGTTACTTCACTCTGTACCATGAAGCTGTCTGTGAACAAGGCTCTTTTATTCCCTTTCTTGGTGATAGCACAGCCCCCATATTTGCAGGACCCTTAAAAATCCAGGTAGCTTCTCTCTAATTCACAGAATAAAGAACATCCCTCAGCAGAACAGCACACACTGCCACTAACTTTTGTTCCAAAAGCATCATGTGAAGGACTGTTAAAGCAAAGCCTGTGTGAAAATGTTTTGTGCTGCCATCGGGGCAGAGTGAGGTTTGCTCTTGTGTCCCTTATGAACATGGACAAAGGGTTCCTGCCTCCTCATTCCCCAGACTCCTTCACTGGCTGAAAGGTACATACTCCTTTTATTGAATCTTGCATCTCTGAGGTTGGGCTTTCATGACCTCCTGAGATAGCAAACAGCTCCTGCTGCTTTGTGACTGCAGATTATACTGGATGGCTAAAGCTCTTGCCATCCCCAGCCATGCCACTGGGTTATTTTTAATTCAGGTTGCTTCTCTCATCCAGTGCTCATCACAGCTCCACAAACAGCAAGGCTGGCACAAGTGAGGGAAAATTGCAGTCTGGGGTGGGTGGTAACAAACATCTCAGGAATCCTTAAGTTGGTAATGCCATGATGCAATCCATGACATCAAACAGGAGCCTGGGGGGAGCAGCATGGAGTTAAGAGAAAGCAGAACAGAGGCGTTAAACAGAAATGTGCCCCTTTTTTGCATAAGGGGAGTATCTCCAGAGGCAGTGCAGTTTAGAAATCTTCTCCGAGCAGATGTCACACAGCTAGAATCAGTGCTCATCTCTTGCTAAGTAACTCTGAGGAGTGGAGGTGCAGGTTTGTACTACTCTGCTCGTCCTATTGGAGCTCTGGTTCCACCTCCTTTTCCTCCAAAAGCCTCATCTCCTCTTCTGTGTGTAATTGTGGTCACTTCCTCCTGATCTCTGCTTGTGCCAGTCCAGCTCTGTGTGCAGCTGCAGCACAATGCATATTTCAGTGGCTGAAAAGTAAGTTTCCCACTCTACCCTTGGCTATTTTTAGCCGGATCAGTTCCTGATCCAATCCACTCTACAGACACACAAACAGCTGTGTCAGTGTGACAGGAGGAAAATGAGGGAAGCAGAGGAGAGACTTAGCCGAGTTTAATCATCCCTGGTACCAAATGGGAAACCATAATCACGAATGAGTGCTCTAAATGCCTGGCAGCAGTTATTTAAACTTCTCTACAGCTCCCTGTCTTACTTTTTGTGTAAGAAACAAAGCCTTGGAATTTTCCAAGTCAGTGCCACAGAAAGGAAATGGTCCTGTGTCTGGTATAGCTGCCCCTTCCTGCATGAATCAAGGCAAGCTGAATGCAGGGAGCCTGAACAAGTCTGCTGGCAGGCAAAGCAGCCAGGGTTCCTCACAGCTTCCTTACCCGTTGCAGTTTGGCCAGCCTGTACTTTTAGAAGTCATGTCCTGCAGAGACCAAAATTTGCCAGGACACCAGCCATGAGCAGTTACCCAGAAGTGTGCAAAATATGTTTATAGTGGTCAAAAACCATGCCTGAGACACATGCTGAATACTGGCCACTACCAAAAGACAGTGATTCTGACACAAAGGTGGAAAGTATAATTAAAAAATTTAGAGATTTATTCAGAAGCAAAAATATCTATTTGGTAAACTAAAATCACTTACTGAGGCATATGACATGCTCCTTGGTGCCTGACCAACTGCTGTTGTGGGCAGGAAATGGTGGGGATATTGTTCCCTGAAGACTTTGCTCCATCCAAAGGCAGAAGTACAGAAAGGGTTTACAGAATAGAATGGTTTGGGTTGGAAGAAACTTTTAAAGGTCATCTGGTTCCAACCTCCCTGCCATGGGCAGAGACATCTTCCACCACCCCAGCTTGCTCACAGCCCCATCCAGCCTGGCCTGGACACTTCAAGGGATGGGGCAGCCACAGCTGCTCTGGGCACCCTGTGCCAGGGCCTCACCAGCCTCACAGGGAATTTCTTCCTAATATGCAGTCTAAACTTCCTCTCTCTCATTGTGAAACCATTCCCCCTGGTCTTGTCACTCCAGGCCCTTGTCAATAGTCTCTCTCCATGTTTCCTGTAGGTTCCCTTCAGATGCTGGAAGGCTGCAATGAGGTCAAACAAAACTACTCAGAGTATTTTAGGCTGGAAAGGACCTGTAAGGTCATTAAGTCTAACCACAAACTATCTTACTTTGCATGGTTCATTTGTGTGTTTTCTTTTCTTTATGATGATCACAACTGCAGCAGTACTCTGAAAAAATGGACAAAGCCACCACTTATTTTGGGGCTGTCCCAGGAAATTACAAAACTGTACAAAAACTGTTTGGTTTTTTTTTAATCTCAGAATTGCATCCAGGGATGACAAGCAGCAATTTCATTTAGGGAATTTTTCAAAGCCTTTCAATCTTTCAGGTTTTCTACATAAGCAAGAAGAAATACAAGGAAAGGTGTAAGCACAAGGACATGTTTTCCCTGGATTATGCACATCATCATGGTAACCTCCCTCCTGCACAGTCACTTGAGTTTCACAACTCTGATTCAGACTAAATACCAATGACCTGATTCATTCTTCCACTGAATTGCACTGTAAATAATTGTAAAATGCACATTTAGTGCCATGAATTAGTAAGCAAATTATCTCCTGCTCCAACCTGGCTGAAGTTTGCTGTGGCCCACACCTACCTCCAGCAAAGGCTGTCCATAAATGGCCCCATGGCTCCATAACCAGGCTCCTGACACTCACTTTTCCCAAGGAATAATGTCTGAGCTTTCAGGGGAATTTGTCATCAGTACCTGCAACAAATAAAGGTGCCCCAATTATGCTATGCTTTAAAATAGCATCCCATACCTCCCAAAAGTGAAGTCATCACAGACACATCGCATATTCCCAATTTACAAGCTGCTGACTTTTTGGAGCAGGGCACTAAGACACATACTGAGTGATCTCTGAGAGGTCACAAAGGAAGGCAAAGGTTTATTAGTAGGCCTGCATGTACAGCAGTTGACTGGAAATGTTCAGAGGGTCTGGAACTAAAAAAAGAGAAACCCTCACATTACAACCACTTTTGTAGCTCTCAGATCAAAATCATGGAAAACAAAATGAGAGACCATGCTGTTATCAAATCTTTAATTTCTGGGAGTCCTAAGTGTCCAACATTATGTAAAACTTCTATGAAAAATGAATTCCATTCCATGAATAACTTGCATGTATTATGTGAAATATTTATTGAAGACAAATGCCATTCCAAGAATAGCTTGGATGCTGCTTACTTTGAATAACAGTGTGTTTATCTACTGTAAATTAATTTCTGCCCAACAAAATTACTTTTATCCCTCAGTCTATCACCCTTTTCATGAGTAAAGTTTGTGAACACACTTCTACTTTTAAATACAGCTTTTGTAAGAGCCTATACATGAAAAGGGGCACTGAATGCAACTCATTAGTTGCTCTCGACAAAGGCTCAGTGAGAGGGGAAAGCAAATACAGCAGAGAGAATAAAATATCTATGATGAAGAACCTCTAAACCTGGCTTAGGGTTGGGAGACAACCACAGGAACATGAATTAGAACTCAAGTCTACGTCCCACTGAGTTAATCTTTACATTAGGGAACCATCCTTTAAGTGAGGTCCCATCTGCAGCTGTTTCTTAGCTATACTGAAGGGTTACAGTTGTCTCAGCAACTTAAAAAAGCTGGATCACTGGGTGTTAGAAAAAAACTAATTATTCCACCACTTTCTACACACAGGCCATTTTCTGTAAAGTTGCTCTGTACATAGATTTGGAATTTATGACAGTACACACACACACACATGTAAAATCTCTAACAGTATTGGTATTGTATAACATCTAATATAACTATATTGGATAGTGTGTGCAATAAATTAATCTGCCTTTTTTATATATACTTAGCAAAACTACAGCTATGCATACACAAATTCCCTTTCCCTCTAAGTGAACCAACAAGCTGCTTAGTGAAACCACATCATCTGTGTTTCCTGACTGTGTTGTTTCAGATTCTGACTTGCTCACCTTTTTCCCCTCTGGGCTTCTCTGGTGTTACAACTTCACTATTTCTATTCCACACATCCCTTCCAGAAGACCAACTGCAAAATCACAGGAATGAAACGGCTGATTTTTTGAAACCACAGTTCTCAGAGGAAGATATATTATTAGCCCATCCTTGTCCCGAGTGAAGATTAACTGGATATTAAATTTAAAAAAATAAACTAAAATATTTTAAGTAGTAACAAACTGAGAAGAGATTGTAAAACAAAGTAAGAAAAGCCCCTTTTTCAAATATTGAAGCAGCACTTCTAGGGCATGATTCACCTGTTCCTAAGGTAGACACCTAAAACACGGCAGATGAATTACCACCTAACAGTGTCCATTTCTACCAAGAAGTTTCAAAATCAAAAACAGTTCAGACACTCTTTTTGATTTTAATACATATTTTCAGATTTGGGGATTAATTTCATGGTGTAATTTTGACAGGCTTGGGGATGTTTTTTTCCTCTAGTTTCTGAAGGAAATACAGCTTTTTTTAGCCCATTGTCACCTGCCCATTAGGAACTGTCTCATTCAATCAAATAAAGCATGTAAAGGAATCAGAGATGAGCAGGTTCTTATCCAGGGATCAATGCTCCTATAGCCAGGGATCAGTGGCCAGGTGTAGCAGAAAGCTCTTACTGGAAGCCCCATGGGAGGATCAGCAGGGAGAAACTGCCTTGTCCATGCTCTTTGGCATTTTATCCTGTCCAGGCAGTAGGATAAAATGCCTGTTATCAGGTCACTGAATCTGTTGGGAACATGGGAATGATATATGGATAATTTGGGGGAGAAGGGTATTGGGAAGAGAGTGAAATAAATGACAGCAAAATGTGCCAATTTTGCTTATCAATTAATAATAAAGTATTAATTAGAATATTGGTAATAATGAGCTCTCTAGATACTGTTTGCACTCTTTTTAGACTGGAAGGATTTGGCTTTGTAACACTGCACATGACCATGATTTCCACTGAACAGCTGATACAAGGAAGCTACGTAACACGAACTGATCCTGGAAGCTGGTGCTCCTAAAATGAAGGAGATGACTTATACCTATTCTTTATCAGCCCTTCCTCCTCAGGAGTTCCTGAAATGCTCACACTCCTTAGAAGATTGGAAACTCTTCCCCCTAGGAGAATCTCCAAAGCAGATTACCAGAAATCAATCAGAAATTAATTAACTTCTCCTCTGAGGCCAGACCTAGAGAGCTGAGGTTGTTCAGCCTGGAGAAGAGGCAGCTCTGAAGAGACCTCACGTGACTGCTTAATATGCAGAGGGGTCTTACAAAAAAGATGGAGACAATTTGCAAGGGCCTGGAGTGACAGGATGAGGGGGAATGGCTTCAAACTGAGAGAGGGTAGATTTAGATTACATACGAGTAAGAAATACTTTACTGTGAGGGTGGTGAGGCCCTGGCACAGAAGCTGTGGCTGCCCCATCTCTGGAACTGCTCAAGCCCAGGTTGGATGGGACTTGGAGCAACCTGGGATAGTGGAACGTGTCCCTGCCCATGGCAGGGGGCTGGAATGAGATGAGCTTTAATGTCCCTTCCAACCCAACCCATTCTCTGATTCTGTGATCTGGGAGCCCCTGTGGAGAGAGCTGGTGACTTCCCTGAACCTGGCAATTGAGGATAAAGCCCCAAAGTCCCATGGAGACTGGTTTCCTGGCAGGGCTGGGATGCACGAGGAGTGAGCTGCACATGCTGATTCCTGTGCTTGGCAGGGCCTGGGGGCCTGGCACCTGCTCCCAGCACCTGGCCCAGCAGGGCCCCCCACACCCACGCAGGAATCCTGGCCAACCCCACTGCAGGAAGCCACTGGGAACAGGGAAGGGGGTGCAGCAGCACATGGCCAGGGAGAAGCAAGAAGCCACCACTGGCACGGGACAGGGAACAGCAAACAGCCAGACTGGTGCAGGCTGGGTGTGGGAACACTTCTGCAGTACTAAGAGGTTTGCAAAACAACCTCTGTGAAGAAACACAACTGGGTTTATTGAGTCTAGAGGAGAAGGCTAGAAATAGGGCAAGACATGGTAGTGCTGTTGCAGTACACAAGAGGTTGCTATTAAGAGAGGCAGCGATTACACTGCTGGAAGGACAGAGATAAGATCTAACCAACTTAATTTCCAGGAAAGAGAAGAAGACAGGAGAAAAGAACAAGAGTAGATGTTGCAAAAACTTTCTCTGCATAAGCCAGAGCTGGAAAAGATTATGTGGGAGGTTGTGAAATTCCCTGCACCAGAAATTAACCAGACATCACCACACTTTCTCAGTAGAGGATGAACTGCCAAGCTATCCCCCAAGCTAGCCTTTGGAAAGAAAAATCCATCTACCCTTTTCAAAAATAAACTAAAAACCATCCATACATGTCATATGGATCATTAAACATATGGGTGATGAGTAAAAAGTTTTGCGTTTGGATAACAAAGCTACCATAGATTTACAAATCCTAATTTCAATACAAGCATTTAAATGCAAAATATTATTTGGATAGAAAACTTTGATCTTTCCTCTCAAAGAAACCTGCAGTTGTTGAGCAGGTAAATGCTGTCAAGACCTTGTAGTGCTGTCACATGGCACCTCCTTCCTGCAACCAACCTTTCTCCTCTGTTATCTCCTACTTCCATGTAGAGAAGCAGCAGCCAGCCACTTTATATTCTGTGGTGCGCTTTTATTCTGGTTAAAACGTCTGTGGCCTGGGCCAGTCTCACAGCGAGATCATAGAATCATCTCTCCACCATCTGATGGTATAGGACCATAAGATACCTCAGGCAATGCAAGAAAACCCAGACCATACCGTTCTTTTGGGATCCACTGCAGAGAATGCTCCCAAGATAGAGAGGCATTCTGACCTTCCCAGTACATCAGAAATAATTAAGGCCACCAGGAAATCTTAGTGTAATGGAGTACCTAAAGGACATAGAGTTAGGGTTTTTTTGAGTTGATGAATAGGTATCTCAGCTGAAACAATCTAGGCAGATTCCCATAGGGCATATATGTGATAAGGATTTTGATTGGAATTCTGATCCGACTCAAGATCAGTTGGTTGACCCCAGAGAAAAGCTTGATCTGTTTGCTCCTAATGAGAAGACCTGGAGCCAGCACTCACCCCTTCTTTACTCAGCATCAATGAAAGCACCCCAGCAGGAAACCAGCCCCTAAATGAAATGTGCTCACTGTAAGACCTGCCAGGAAGGCATTCCAGCACTAGATGTGGGATAAAGGCAAAGATATCCAAGCCACTGCTGGGAATCCTGCAGGGAATATGAGGGACAACTCCCAGAATTACAGAGAACAATCTGATAATGCTCCAGGGCACAGCGGTAGCTGGGGTTGGATGTGACTACCCTACTAAGATGATGGGCTTCACATGTTTTTTTTAAAAAATCACTAACAAGGCAGGGGGAAGTGCTGGGAATGGAACATCAAACATCTACCTACAGTTGTGACACGCCAACTTTTAAACCACCTTTTGGTCTTTCTTTATTCTCTGATTCCTTGGGGACTTCAATTCACGTGTCTCAGGAGGTGTGAAAATGTCCCAAGAGAGAGTCTGTGACAATGCATGTTGACCACAGGACAAGAATGTGGCTCCTACCACAGCCACTTCACACCCTGAGCCTCCACAGTAATGCAGCAAGTTTTTTGCTGAGGCAGAAACCCCACTCTTTTTATAGGGTCATTCTGCTTTTATGTTTTATTTGCTGGATTATTCTTGTGCTATTCTTAACTAAATGCAAAGAAAACTAAAAATATCACACAGTGTGAATCAGAAAATAGGCCCTTTTTGTGTACTAAGAAGAAAAACTCAATTCATGAAAAATGTGCCTTTGCTCATAGGAAACAATCCTGCTTCAGTCTGCCCTTCCAACAACAGCACCAGAACTCCAAACAAACAATGCTTCCCCACCCTGTGTGCCCGATTGTATTTCTGTGCAAGCTCACATCCATCTTTAAAGTCCATCCTATGGGAAAGGTGCTTTTTCTAGAACTGAGGGGAATGAGGGGCACAGAGAATCCTCTCAGTATACAAGAGGCCAACATCATGGAGGGGATTCAGGAATATGTGCTCATTTTTCTATTATGAGATTGGTTATCTAATTACAGGACTCATGTTACATAAATTTAAGGCTTCCAGGAAAACCACCATGGGTGGCTAAAATCCCAGAGATTTTATTTTTTAAAAAGGTGAAGCTACAATAAAATGGTGGATGTTTCTTCAACACTCTGACAGAAAGCCTTAACAGTAATGCAGTGCCCAATCCTAACAAAAACCATCTGAGGGAGGAAAAGGGCAGTTGCTCTTTAAACCTGCTGGTGTGACAACAACCAACATAGAGGAGCAGGTACAACAAACAGAATGGTGTTTGGGCTCATGTTCTCTCACTTGGATGCAGCCAGGAATCAGCATCAGAATAGCTTCCCATAAGGGGGCACTACACATTACACATCCAGGCTCAGAGATCTCCACCGCCAGGACTTGTACACAGACACTGAACAGAGAGGGAAGCACATTTCAGCTTCTTTTATCCTCCTCTGCAAAAATTGATAAAAAATTACTGTGTTATCCTGGTAAAAGCTATGCTACTATGTGTAATTCTGTCCACCAAGAGAACCAAAACAAAAATCCCAAACACTACATCTGAAGTGCAGGGAGAATTTGGGATTTCTGAACTTTTAACTGCTTGATTTCACGGCTACTGAAGAGGACCTTAATGCAAACTAAGGACTTCTGTGTGCAATTTTTTAATGAACAGGGAATTGTCTTTATTGGTGAATGGGACAGATTATTTGTGGGCTGGATTTTGTGTCTAGCTAACAAGAGGAAGGAAAGTGAAGCGCTGGCCTGAGTCATCTTTACTACTGACCTACACCAAAGCAACAAGACTTAAATGGACATTATCATATGAGGATCCCAGCTAGGAAGAAGTGACATACTGACACAGTGGTTTCTGAGTGCAGAGGGAGGGGCAGGATGGGGCTGGGGCAGAGGCAGCTGTTCTGAGCACAGGGGAAAGCTGCTGAGTGTCATCCTCCCACCTGGCTACACACACCCGGGTGCTGCAGCTGCCTGCCTGGGGAAAAGCCTGCACATGTGCAGCTCCTACACAGCCACATCCTCCCTTTCAGCTGGAACCAGAGTACTTGGCAAGCCCCTCTAAGGCAGTGTGCTGCTTTCATTTCTGCTCTCCATGCTCAGTTTTGTAGAGGTAGTTTCCAACTATTTCAGCAGTCTAGACTAAAATAAGAGTACTTGCAGTGGTGTGACTTTGTCCATATTCCACCTTTCCCTTACAGTAATTTATTTCTAGAGTTCATAGCTGGAGCAGAAAGCCTGAAGAAATGACCACAGCGTAAGTGGCCTACCTGAATCTTAAAGAAACAGAAAGGCAGAATGAAGTGTTCTAGATGTTCTGGTAGTGAATTGGTTGATTTGTTCAGAATCATTTCTACAGAAACCTTTGAGTGTCATGCCCCCAGCCCAACTTAAGTTATTGCCATCAACATCCATATACAGAACATATGCAGAGGAACATATACAGAGGAAGACTCTGATCAAGTTCTTGCTTTAGCATTTTCCAAATGGAGTGGAAGTATTTTAAGAGTTCCAGTAATGTTATCCAGGACTTCTCAAAGGGGAAAAGTAGACAATGCTCTTTATCCTGGATCCTCTCTCTTTAGGCTTTTTCTCACTGCTAAGGAAGAAAGGGAAACATCAGTGTGCGAGGTGCAGGTAAAGAGCAAGACTGAGACTCCAATCCAGCAATTACCTGCATGTGGATGTGAAAGGTAGCATGGGCTGGGCAACCATTTACTGCAGCATGAGGATTCTGCTTCAGATTTGCACAAGGATTTAGCTGTAAGAGAAGAATCACAGAAGGATTTGTGGAAAAATCCAGCTTTTTGCAGAGTTCAGAATCCCACAACAAACAAACGAAAAGCACCACAGGAAACCAAGAGCTGCCTCCCAAAGGCTCCCTGCAAGCTGCAACTGGGGATTTCATTCTGGGAAAGGAACCTGTCAGGAACAAGCAACTTGGGGTATGCTTTGCATGGAGCATCTCAGGGCAGAAAAATGGTAAGCCCAAAGATTTCTTTGAAATTCTAAATGAGCTTGGAATTGCCTGTATTGACTGCTATAAAGGAACAGTTGTTTGGAAGTGTTTGCATAACCGGTCCTCATTAAGATTTTCCAAAATTTGTGTGTGGTATTTCTGGGTATATCAATGTTGTGATCCTGGATTACCAAAAATTAAAATCTTGGACAGTGGAGAAAAGGCAAAGCCCACTAAAAGCTTTCCTACCTTCCTCTTTGTCTCACTACTCATTCCCCCAGTACATGTTTTTTCTCCATAATGTCTTTCTGCTCTTTTGGAGGCATCTTAATAGCATCAAGCACTGCAGTTTCTCAACCTGCTTTTATTTTTTGGATCCTTATTTACAAGTATTGTCTTGTATTTCCTGGGTATCTTTTGTGGATCCTCCTCAGGTAGCCCATGGACACCCTGATATGTGTGGACTACAGGCCAGAAATTACTGCAGTAATTTTATTCAGTAAAAGACATTTGCTGACATTCAGTGTAAAGTACCAGAAAAACACCCTCATTAATGTTCTTGGTCATAAACCATCCTTTCCCTGCACTATATATTTTGGAAAAAAAACCAAAAAACCTTTAAATTCAAGTTTGTGTTATTTACCTGCATGCACTTCCATATAAATCTCCATATATTAATCAGGTGGGAATAGGGTTTATTTAAGAGGAAGAAAAGAATGTGATGTTATACCGCATTACATATATCAAATGTAATTTTTGCAAGTTTGGCTAAGGGAAATCCTCCTAAAAATGTAGGAGCTTACTATTGTTCTACTGAGTATTTCATCACTGAGTTGCCAAATGCTACTGGTGAGGAAACAGGTTGCTCTCACCACAGTATGGATCATTAAAGGTTGGGTAGCTGCTTCAGAGAATATAACCCCTTCAGTATAGCTCTTTTTTCCCCAATATTTATTCAAAAGAGCTTCAAAGGACTAACTTTGAAGCTATTTCCTACTGTCTTTCGAAAAACAGTATATAAGTAAATAAATGTGATGTTTTGAGTCATGTTTTGCTGCAGTTGTTCACGTGAAATCTTGAGCATTGTAGGGATGTCTTTCTTCTTTCTTTGGTTTTTAACTATGCTTTGAGCAGTAGTTTGTCTTGCCTTCTGCCTAGATGACATTTGTTACATCCTCAGTGAAACTAAAGTAACATTTGAGGCAATCTTGCCTGTTTTTTGCTGTTTGAGACTGGCCATTCCTACCCCCAATTCCATCAGAATCAGGGAAGGTCAACAAAACCAACATTTCATGCGTGCATCTTTTTGAAGCTGTGGCATGAGTAGTCATTTTTCCTTGGTATCAGTCTGGATTGCAGCTGTAAACTGAGCTGGGAAAGCCCATCAGCCTCCCCCAGGCTGACATCCATAAGTTCAGAACCACCTCATCCCTTTTATAACAGGCAGGAGCTTATAACCAGGTGAACTGTTGGGCAGTGTCAGGCTACAGGATATGTGCAAATAAAAACATTCTTCTACCACCTTTTGTGGCTGACAGGCAAGGACTCTCTGGACCATCCCTTACTCTCATGCCCCTAACAGTAGCCTTTGTCTCAAGACACTCTGTAGCCTTGTCCATTTGTTTAAATTTTCCTGGCAGACCCTGTTAAGAAGGGGGAATTTAGCTGTGTAGCACAATGGTCTGACTTGCACATCAGGCCAGGCACTGCAATTACTTTGGAAAAAATTTGTACAACACACTAAATAGGCTATTCACAATTAATCCATCCAATGTAGACCTTCACTGTAACTGGTACATAATTCATCATGAAAAAAAATATCCCTCCATTGCTCATATGCAGGTATCCATCTGTACAAACAATTTTTACTGCTTTTTGTATGAAAAAAACCCCAAACAACCCAAAACCCTGGATAAGGTTGAAAAGGGATTATAGAGATATATAATTTGTGTGGATTATTTTGCTCCTGGTTTTACTCCATAAGAGCAAACACAGCATTGTATCTAGGTCACTTGTTGGCTGCAGGCTACTTGTAATTCCCAGGAGAAGGCGCTTGAGAAGGAAATAGGGGAAGCCTATTTTGGTCTGTTCTTGTCTTGGGATGTTCATGTTCTTTGGCAGTATGGGTTTTGTCTCAGAGCTACTGTTATTAACTCATTGGGTTATGTCAGCAATGTGGATTTATACCTACTTTCACAAAGAAAAACATTTCTGGCTGTATCACCTGCAGGGATTTCCTGGTTCTGTATTTTCCTAAACTCTTCTGTCACAGCCACCTGGACATCTCCTTTAACAAATTTCAGGAAAGATCATGGAAATCAGTATTTGTCTGTGTGAAGCCCATAGTTTCTTGAACACCTGCAATAAATGATGCCTCTCCCAGACAACAGCAGGAGTTCACCCTTGTAACTGCATCCACAACTGGCACTGAAGTGGTTTCTCAGACTAGGGCACCCAAGCTCACTCCCACAAACGAAGAACTTCCTGTAAACAAACCAAGAAAAAAAAACTAAAATAGTCCTCCTCCCTAGCTGCTGTCATGTGGGGAAATCAGAGCATGAGATACACCTCAATCTGAAGCAGGGAAGCTCCAACTCGTATCTCTGAGGCATGGTTTGCACACTTAAAACAACAAAATACCCCACTGCATCCTACCAGACTGAATCCAAAGGTATGGCTGTAGGGATAAAGAGCCTCTGTCAATGATATGGCTGCTTTCAAGATTTAAAAAAAAACATATTGTGCAACTGTGATGCTTTTTCCTCTCTTAGCACCTGCTGTAGCTCAAGAAGCTGCTGGTACCCATAAAAGCAACAAGAGCACTGTGGTACCAAAGCTGAGCCGAGACCAGGGGAGGGTCTGCACTTCTCTCATCAGCCTGCTGCAGTGAAATGCAGTGCAGGAGGCTGGAACTCTGCTCCCTGCTGAAGGAAAGCTGTAAACAAGGAGCAGGAAGGGAGACGACTGGATTTCAGAAGGGCCGCTACCGCTGGATGTTTACAGCGAGCCTTGGAGGAAATGAAGGAAACGGCCAGGACTGACTCACCGGGGATGGGTGTTTTACTTGCTGCTTGTGTAAACTTACTGTGCTGCAGCTTCCAAGCTCACTGTTCTGCTCCCTTCCATCATTACCAAGGCTTTTCATGCACATGCACAAGTTTGCATCTGCTTGGAGTAAGGCAGAGCTGCTGAACACATCTAAGGAAGCAAACTGGCTTTCCAAGGAGGGCTCAAGCAGATGATTTTAGTTTTAAGAAGACCCTTCAACAACTCCACTCTTCTGCAGTACTTGTGATATGTCAGCAGCTCAACCAAGTTACTGTTCTGTCCTGCTGCCTGTCTGGATTTTGTCATGCCCAGCTGTGTGCTCTGCATATAGAGCTAAACCCAGAATAGTGTCTGGGCAGAGCAGAGAGGATGTGATAGCACAGGACTTGAGCGGGACGGGATGTTTACATGGAAGATGTCGGAGTGGGAGGTTAATGTCCCAGCTGCCCCTCAGCCTGATGACAGCACAAGGCACTGCAGGAAGCTGGAGCACTTCAGGGCACAGGGCCCTGCTCTTGGTGCTGCTGGGCCCCTTTGCATGGAAGGGACATACCAGGGATATATATCCAGGGATATATACATATGTGTACATCCCAAGGAGGTATGTCCTTGAAGGGAGAGGGACATACTAGGCACTCAGCTGCTGCAGCCCAGAGTTTGATGGGATAAGAGACAGTACAGCCCAATCTACCTGGGATACTCACAGCATGTGACAGGCCCTCTCCTGATCACACTGTGCTGGGTTCCACATGTGTTCAGGCACTCAAACTCTCCGTGCTGCGGGCAGAGAAAGCAAGTTATCTCAAAATACGATCTACAAAACCAAACAGAAAACCACCTCTGCAGCTGCTGGAGGTGCCAAGGACAGGGGGAGATGTTAAGGCCACCTCAGACAATAAGTTGCCCTTTTCTGGACAGAAGACGAGCAGTTTTCCAGTCAGGATGACCAACTCCAACCCGCTGCCAGCTGCTAGGAACTTAGAAAATGCAGTGGGAAGATGCACTGGCTATTTATATAATGTCCCAGAGGTCTGACACCAAACTAAGACATGATCTAGAGTCAGCTTCTGGGAATTTGAAGCATCCCTTTCCTCGCTGCTGACTGTAAATGCAGTGATGTGGAATGGGAATCTCAGCTGCAGGAGCTGATCCACCCTGCTGAAAAAAGGCACCCCCACAAACAAATTAAAGGAGTAATTGAATCAGAAGGCAGCAGCAGGCACAAGGATAATTCTGTGGCTGGCTGGGGAGAGTTCTCAGTGTGCCACTTCTGAGGGGAGTTTTCCTTCCTGGGAGACTCTGCGCGGGTCTCACAGGGAAGGGAGGGTTCAGGATTGCCTGGGTGTGGGCTGCAGGGTTTCTCTGGTGGTTGAGCCAAGCTCTTTCTCTTTTGCTGAAAGCTTCAGAGCACATCCTGGAGGATAAACACCTGCAAGCCTCAGGAAATTATTAGGAGAAAAAAACAGACTTAGCAAGGAAACAACTCTGGATATCAAGCTGCAGAAACAGAATATATAATATAGGTAATGCCTTCCTCAGCCACCTAAAGTAATTCTTTGCACACTTTGCAATTTTCGTGAGCAAAGATCTATATAATACACCATGGCAAAGTGTACCCTCACATAAGTCCTGTATCCCTTTAAGCGCCTGTGTACCTACAAGAGAGAATGCCCAGGAATTGCAGCTTTGAATTCAGCTTTTTAATGCAGCCTACAGAGTTTTTCTACCAACATCCTGGTCAATTTCTTCTGAATTCAGGTGTTTCATTAATTTACAATTATTTGATGATCTTGGGTGTAATCCTGCTTGGGATCCTGTAATCCTACAAAGTCTAGGACAACCCAACACTTTTCCTTGAACCCCCCCAGCTGCCTCCTGGGAGGAAACGCAAAGGGCTCATGCGTGTTAAGCTGAGGAGTGGGAAAACAAGAGACTCGGATAATGAAGGAAGGTTAAAAAATAAAAAGCATCTCTGATTCTTAAGCTGGCCTGGACACCTGGGGTGGTGGGTCAGGTGTGCTCCAGAGGCAAAGCAAACAAGCACTGTGTCCAAACCTAAGAGGGACACAGTTATTACAGAATCACAGAATGTCTGGAACTTAAAAGGACCCACAAGGATCATCGAGTCCAGCTCCTGGCCCTGCACATGACACTGCAGCAATCCCACCCTGTGCTCAAGAGCATTATCCAAACACTCCTGGAGCTCTGTCAGGCTGGGTGTTGTGACCACTGCCCAGAGGAACCTGTTCAGTGCCCCACCACCCTCTGGGTGACGAACTTTTCCTAAAACCTACCCTAACCCTCCCCTGACACAGCTCCAGCCATTCCCTCGGGTCCTGTCCCTGGTCACACAGAGCAGAGATCAGGGCCTGTCCCTCCTCTTCCCTTCGTGAGGAAGCTGCAGAACTGCTGTGAGCTCTGACCTCACTCTTCCCCATGCTGAACAGAATGAGCCTTCCTCGTGGGGCTTTCCCTCTAAGACCTTCACCCATACTCTTACTACTGAATTTAAGTAAGTAAGTAAGTAAATAAATAAATAAATAAAAGAAAATACCTTCCGCTCCAACGTGTCGAGGGGCTGTGGCCAGCCGGGGCCAGGAGCGGGGCCAGAGCCGCCGTGTCCGCCGCGGCCCCTCGGCCGCTTTGCCTTGCCTTGCCTTGCCCTGCCCTGCCCCGGTGCCGTCGGAGCGCGGCCGCCGGCCCCGCACGCCAATCAGGGCGGCCCGCCTGCCTTCCTGTAGGTGTGCCCGGCTCACCTGGAGCCGCGCTCGGCACTCATGACATACCTGCGGCCCCGCACAGGGCGGCGGCGAGGCGGCGGCCGAAGGGCGCCGGGGGGGGCAGCGCTGGCCCCGGCCTCGCGATGTGAGCCCGGTGCAGGTAAGGGCGGCCGCCGGGGGCGGCGTTGCCGTATTCCCGGGATCGCCGTTGCCGTATTCCCGGGAGAGGCGCGGGCCTGGTGCCGGATCCCCGCGGAGCCCGGGACGGACGGAGGGGCGGCTGCCCCGCGAGGCCGGGGCGGGGGCGACAGGCGGACTCCGGGAGCGCGGGGCGGGCAGGGGACAGGATAAGGGGTAGAAGGAAGGGGAGGGAGGGCGGCCGACCCACCATTTTAGGACCCGAGGGGGACGGGAGGAGGGATCTCCGGGGAAGGAGAGCGTCGCTCCTCCCGCTGCGGGCCCGGTGCGGGCGCCATCGGGGCGCGGAGCTCCGCGAGGTCGCGGCCGCCGCGGGAGCCCCGGTGCCCCTCGAGTGGGCGGCGAAGGGACTCCGGTCCGCCCGGCCCGCGGCAGCCCCTGGGGGCCGCATCCTTGCCTGGGGGCTCCGCGCCCCGACGGCAGCGCCCGTGCCGCCCCCCGCTCCCCCGCCCGCTGTCGGCAGCAGGGAGGGCCCGGAGCGCAGGCCCGCTCCCAGGCTCGGCTGCCAAGTAGCAGCAGGAGCCTCTTCTCGCAGAAATGGTGCCTCCCACGCAGCAGCGAGATCCCACGGTGTTCGCCGGGTTTTCAGCTCCCGCCGGGAGCTGCGGCCCGGGAGTCGCGGGGGTGCTGTGCTTGAACTATGGACACCTTCTTGTTTTCCTCCTTGCCTCGTGACTTTTATGGCCTGTCACGGAGGGAAAGCAGAGGAGCGAAAGGCGAGATCCCTGCCTGCTGCTCCCTTCCTGCCTCCTTCCTGCAGCCCCGGCCACTGCAGCAGCTCCGATGGCAAATCCAGCGTCCCAGCCAGCCTGCCAGGGGGGGATCCGGCGCTCCCACGGCTCTCATCAGACCCATCGTCCTCCCAGCACCCATGTTTGTCCTTGCTTGAGGCTTCGTTTATTCCCAGATATTGGCTAAGACCGCATCAAACCTGGTAGGAATTACGGGATCAGAGATCTGAGCTCAGCTCATCGGTGTTGTTGCAAACTTTGGCAGGGCGCTGCTGGATATGGATGCCCGTGTTGGCTTCTGGAGTGGGGGTGCCTGTAAGTCCTGGACCAAGCCACATGTGTAATGTGTTGTTGGAAGTTTTGTGACCTGATTCCTTGTTTTTTTGGAGAACCATAACCGAAATGACTTGGAGATAGCTTGGATAAGGGCACAGTCCTTTTAAAGGGTTGCACCGGAGGGAGGTGGCTTGGTTTGGAGGAATGATGTATGGGTGACCCAGATTTCAGCACTGCACCTGAGTTGGGCGAGGAGAAGGCATCCATAATCAGACTTGAAGTCGTAACAAATCTGAGTTCTTCTTAGTTTTTGTTAATGTTTGGAAGAGCCTAGCTGGCTTCTGTGTAGAACCTGGTTTTGCCAGGTGGTGGTGGAGGGTGGCATTTGTCCTGTCCTGCCTGTGCAGCAGACTCGTGGTCTGGGTGAATCTCAGTGGGGTTATACGGTCCAGTCGCTCATGACAGCAGGCAACTGGACTTGAAGTTGATGATCCTGCTCTTTGAAATAGTGGGACACAAATATTTCCTCTGGGAACCTCTTGTGCATCCTAATAGATTCGACGGTAAGAGTCTTTTCCACTGGCCTTTTTTTTTTTTTTTTCATCCTGCTAACTTCAGATGGATATTCTTGTGCTTGTTCTGTTGAATCTTATCCTTCCTTATGGTTCACTTATTTCATGTGCTTTCTAGCAGGAAAGAGCCAAATTGTGCTATAGTTTTTGATGATTTTTTTTCTTTCCTTTTTTTTTTTCCTTTTTAATGTAATCTACTTTGGAGTCTTGTTTAAAGCAGGCTGTTTTATTTAATTAGTTAGCATTCATATTACATTCACTCTCCATAGTTATCCCAGGCAAAATTTAAGGAACAGCCCGCAAGGGATTTCAAATTCTTAATTGGAATCACATTTTTTTCCAAGGATGTTTGATTCTAAGAGTTTACTGTGCTTTCTGTCATCTGGTATCTTTCCAGTTCATGTTGTTTGCTTAGTTACTGTTTGGCTAAATTATCCACAGCTAGTTTATTTCAGTAGTCATGCCTCGGAAGTTTTGCAATTCCTTTCCACTTTGCAGAATCTCACTGAACTCCTGTTGAATCTTTTAATGAAGTACTCAGAAGTGACTTCAGTGCAATTGCAATTGTGCTATATTGTTTTGGCACTTGCACTCTACCGAGAGGTTATTTCCCTCTTTCCTGAGGTAATCACACAGTTGGTGTTCAGACTATCAGCCAGCTGGGGACAGATACCTTCACCTGACCCTTGGCAGGTATTTACATTCCCAGCTGGTTATCACTGCATCAAACCCAAAATTCTACTAGAAAAGTACCCAGTCTTGATTTCAGGATATCAAGTGATAGGCTGCGCTGGTTCCCCTGGTTAATTATTCCAATGGCTGATTACCCTCGCTAATTTCTTATCTCCATCTGTCCGGCCTGGCTCCTAACCATAAAGTCTTGCTACAAGTTTCCGTGCCAGGTGACGGGGCCTGTTGCTGCCAGGACAACATGTTCCAGCTAAAAGATGGCCTGTTGTACTGCAAGCCCATGGCTGCTAGCCGTGCTGAGCTCTTCTTTCTGAGAAGAGGCAGCTGTGGAGCTGGAGTCTGGGTGGTCAGTATGGTTTAGAGCAGTGGTGGAGGGTGCCTAGCCTGGTGTCTGTGTGCAGGCAGGGCTTCCTGGGAACTGTGATTGAATAACTCATGTTGTTTGGAGCTGGGCTTCACATGATGAGCAGCCCAGCCACACAACATGCTGCTGCTGAAGGAGTGATCCACTTCTCATCCAGTCCTGAGTGCAAGCTCCTGCGGCTTCCCTAGGATTGACTCTGGTGACCAAGCAGTCTCAGATCAGTCCAGCCACTGCTCCAAGTGAATATTAACCTCCTTCCCCA